GGGGGGGGGGATAGGGCGACAACACTGCGAGCGAGGAGGGCGAGGAGTGCCCCCTATGGCCCCCGCGCGGAAACCGATGTGCTGATTTTGAGGATCAGGTCAGTTACACCACAGCAAGGAAACAAGGCACGCTGACCAACATGACTACGACCACTATCCCTCAATTATCAGACATGAAATGATAAAATGAAACCATCATCTTACAAAGACAATTTCTAAGAAACAGTTAGACTTAACGCGTAAGCATTGGACCTCGTGTTTTCGACCAGTTTTACAGAGGTGCGTGCCGGCGTCCGCGTTGTACTCTGACCTGCAACGAGGAGCAGCATCAGTATGGCGGCAGTGATCTGCGAGATGATGTAGCCCGCCTCGGACATGCCCCGGCGGTGCGGGACTGCGGGGCCCTGACGGAGCCCTGGTGGAGCCCTGGCGGAGCCCGCGCCGCGCACACGGACGATTACCGACGTTGCGCCATCAGACGTGAAAACACTCCAGCGAGAGAAAGGGCGAGCGAAGGGAGAGAAGGTGAGGGGACGGGGGAGGGGGGAGGGGCTCCGACGAGAATGAGGCATTATTGGCAGCAGGTCGTTATTCTCGCCGGGCGCTGCTGCGCGCTGCTCGTGCTCTCGTGCTGCTCTGTTGTTATCGGCAGAGTGCTATTGGCAGGCGGCACCGTTTTGTAATGTTGTTATCGTGGGGGATGGCTGTGGCCCTTCTCGCCCTCCTCGGCCTTGCCCTCGAATAATGATGATAATAATAATTGCTCGCACCCAGTCTCCCAGTCGCCAAACAAACCGCATTTGTGTCGGCGCAGTGAATCATCACGCGACTGTTTTCCCCTCTGTGCTCAGATTGTTCCATATCGAAAAGATCGCAGTACCTAAGATGTCCTGGTGTCGGGGTTTTTACGGGATGTCAGGATAACAGAGATTCGGTGGGTGAGTTATGGTTTTATTCCGATTTGGAAATCATTAAATCACAGATAAAGAGGAGTCAGCGGCCGGCGCCTTCTCCAGAACTTCCCCCGCGGTGCCCCAGTCGGCCTCAGTCCTCCGCGGCGCACCGGTCGACGTCCTCGACCGTGGGGAACCAGCCCCAGCCAATCACATTCTCGATGAGGCCGATGTATTCCTCGATGAGTTTCGGCGTCGTTCGGAGAGCAATGGAAGCGGTCGGCTCTGGCGCGGCCATGCCCTTGCGCGCCTCCTCGACATCCTCGTCATCAGCCGTCAAGAAGCTGCGCATAAGGGGCTGTATGCAAAGCGCGGGTACCGACATGCGCTTCAGTTGCTCCTGGAGGACGAGAAACAGAAAAGCGTGACACAAACAATCCGTAGCACCTCTGCAAGGTGGTCAAATAAGTTATACACATGCCTTTAGCAGGTCCAATGAGTAGATGTCCTCGGGGTCGTCGCAGCCGGACGCCCGCAGGGTGGCGTGCACCACGTCGATGTAGCCTCGCAGCAGGGACTCCCAGTGCTCGTCGCGCATTCGCAGCAGGGACTCCCAGTGCTCGTCGCGCAT